ATCTATCTATCTATCTATCTATCTATCTATCTATCTATCTATTTATCTCACAGCCTTATTTTTGGGTTTGTCTCAGGGGACAGATTTGTCCAAAAAACAGCTACTGGAAATGTTTTTCCACGCTGTCCCAGGAGCATCTTCTGCACTGCTTTCACTCATTTTATTTTATGTTGTCTTATCTTATTTTTTTTTATGTCAGAGCCTGTAGATCTTCATCCAGAAAGCTGCACTATAAACAGATTCCCCTGAAACAAAATTTGCTTCACATCTTTAAAATTGGTTCGTCAAACTGTCTCACCCCCCAAAAAATAAAATAAAACAACAAATTCATAGGAAATATGATATAATATTTGATTAGCCAGAGGTAGCAACATAATTATAAAGAGACTTTGTCCTATTACTCTGAATTGCAGTGTGCTATAATCAAATATGTAGACATTGTCTCAACATTCCTTGCTTATTGTTTAGACTGTAGCATATTTATATATATAAATATATATAAATACCAGAATGTTTCTGTAGACAACATAATGTGATGTCTTTTTTACTCACTATATTAAAAGGTAGCAGAACACAAAACCAGCCACACACACCATAAAGAGCTGGGTTTCCTTTTCTAGCAGATGGCTGCCATCTAGTGGCCATGTTGTGCTTTACTGTGACAAACTCAAAGCTGGTCTATGGCGTGTGGTGTGTGTGTGCGTGCCTGCGTGAGTGTGTGTGTGTGTGTGTGTGTGTGTGTGTGTGTGTGTGTGTGTGTGTGTGTGTGTGTGTGCATTGATTTTGGGCAGAAACATAAAGCGCAGTAACAAAAAATAGCCTGCATTTAAATAAAATACAGCTGAATAAAATGTAAATGAAATTAAGAAAAAACAACAATGGTTCTTTTCTATTAATACAGCAAACAGTCCACCAATTCTTATGTAATGTATCTAATTATTGAATTAAATACGTTACATAAGATTATGTTTTACTTTATTTTGTTGGAATAGTTTGGACCCTGTAAATATATATGTTATAAAGGTAGACACTCTTTACACAGACCTATCAATTAAAAACGACTGATAACTCGTTCATTATTTATCTGCACTGGCACTGACTTCTTAATGTGTTCAGGTGGTTATCTAACATAAATCAATGTGTATTTTCTCAATTAACACGTTTTCCTCCATCCTGCTCCTGTTCCTGGACGGGGTCGTGTGTGTAGATCTCAGGGGACTCCAGAGTTTAACCTTTGACCTCCAGTAAAGCGTAAGAGCGGTCTTTAGGGAGGATGTCGGGCTGACTCAGGAAGTGAAGGCAGGTGTCAGCTGTTGGTGTTAGAACTGGTGACACTGGACCCTTTACTGGCTGATCACTTCACTGAGCTGAACTTCAAAGTAAGACATTTGTTGCATGTTCATCACAATTTTCACCTTATTTAGAGTCAGTGTAAAAAAACCTGTTATTTCAAGATAAGGGTTAAGTATATTTAACATATGTATTTCATAGTGTTCATTATATCAGCGTATCATCTTTGTCAATCCTTCAAGATCCAAACTGTATTAAGAAACAAAATTGAGGTCTGTCATAACAATAATAATAATCATAATGATTATGATATAATTTGAGCAGCTGATCATCAACATATTGATCATTTAGTACACTGTAAGTCAATTTAACTCAAAAAATCATTGAAATCTATTATATCAGTTTAGTTTTTAAATAAAACAAACTAAATTTTGTAAGTTAAAAAACATTCAAGTACTTTTAGTAATTTTAAGTGACACTGATTTAATTTTGTAATTTCTAATTGTACAAAAAAAAAACAAGTAAAAAGTTCTTAATCAGGAAAGTTTCTTTAACTTATTAAACTAAGTTAGTGCCTCTTAAAATTACTAGTAAAAGCTGCTTAATCAAGAATCTTTTTAACTTAAAAAACTGAGTTAATCTTACTTAAAATTTTCATGAATGAAATCTGTTTCAACAATTTGTTTTGAGTTAAAATAACTTACTGCATTACAGTGTATATAAAGTCATATATTGGTAAAAAACAATTAACCACCACAAGTTCTGAGAGTTCATGTTGACGTCTCACATCTTCAAATATCTTGTTTTGTGCCACCAACAGTCCAAAACACCAAAGATTTTCACTTTACAAAGATAAAAAAGCTCAGAAAAGCAGCAAATCTTCACATTCGAGAAGCTGGAAACAAAATATTTGCCGAATTTGGTTAATCTAACAACTGTGATGACTAATCCATTAATCAAGAAGTCGTTTCAGCCCTAAACAAAATATTGTACCTGTCTAATCATGCAGTGCAAACACGTTTAAAGACTTGGGTTGTTTCAGAAGTGTATTTTGTTTTTAATGTCTCTCTTTGTTGTTACATTACATCACATCCACTGACTGTAGTTTTCTGCAGGTCAACAGAGGCCTGAGTAAAAATGCCATTACACCATTCAACAAGTGTGATTTAATTACGGTTCCCTTTTTTTTGGTTTTGTACGTTACAGCCAACACCCTAACAGAGAAGGAGAAGCAGGATTTACAATAACAAGTGCAAATCCCTTGTAGGAGCTCAGACTTTTAGATACACATCCATCTGTACACATACATAAGCACAAATCAGAGAGCAAATATACAAACGCATCCTTTGATAACGGCTTTTCTGCATATGTTACACCCTGTATTTAATTAAACTGAGATTGATACAAAGACTCAGAGTGATTACAAAGGAGATGTTGAACTAGTGTCCAAGGTAGTGAACTGGCTAACAGTGCACACATTAAAAACACTTTGGCACAATCATACTGCACAGTCAGCAACATTTTCAAAATAAAACCTCATTCTTACAGTCCATGAGATGTAAAAATTGCACAATTTTCACGAGATATTAAAATCATGATCAGAAACAATGTGACAATAATACATATTTTCAGAAAATATGCATAAAACTTCAAAAAGATGTTTTTTTTTTATCTAGTGTGACAGTCACGTTCATAACCATTTGCTTTAGTGGTTTAATACTAAGTCAGTTTAAGTTCTTTTTTTTAAATCCATCACATACAATATGTAATGTAAGAGGGTCAGGAGCAAATGGTGAGATTCAGACTCTCCTCTCTGAAATTCCTTTAAAAGACTTTGTACACTCCCAAATATAACAGCATTGTGTGAGGTCAGTTAAAATCTGAGGCGTGAACAAAACAATATTTTTGAAGACTTTCACTGACAGCATACATGAAAGGTGCAGTGTCTCTGACCGACAGTCCATTACACTGGGACGTCGCCTGCGCTCAGTGTATCAACAGGTTTCAGCTCTCGTCACCGTTCTGCACCCTGCCGTCACCCAGCAGTCTCTCCCTTTCCTCCGGGCTGTTCTCCTCCTCCTCTGTGCTCACCATCGCGGCGCAGCACGGTATCCTGGCCAGCAGGGGGCGGTGCAGTCCATTATAGAGCGCCGTACCCACCAGCAGGACCAGGAAGCCCAACACCTGCAGACCGTGAAACTGCTCCCAGCCCAGCGCCAGGCTCACCACCCAGATGACCAGCGTACGCAGGCTGTCCAGCACCATGCGGGTGGTGGCGCTGATCTCTTTAGTGACACTGATGCCGGCGAAGTTGAAGAAGGCGATGCTGACGGTGTTTCCCAGCAGAGCCAACAGGATGAGAGGCTGGTGGCCGATCTGACAGAAGGCGTCCAGGGCATCCTCCAGGACGTGGCGGGGGTTGTCGGCGAAGTCACCAACGTGGATGAAATACATCGGGATGAGAAGCAGCGACAGGACGAAGAACCCAAAGAAACCTGGAAATAGGGAGAATTGATTAGGATTTATAACAACCTTTTTTAATCACGTGACCAGTTTTACCAAACAATGATCTACTTTGCTGTATTTGACTCATTTGTTGAGTCCTGAATTAGTAAAACTCAAAAACACTCATTCATGAGGCAAAAGTGAAGATTAGAGCAAAGTCTGAAAAAATCTGTCAGCAGAAATATGTTTTTCCTGCTTTCTTCTGTTGTAAATATCCTCACAAACCCTCAGATTTATCTTGTTACACTTGTCTCTGTGTGTGAAGTCCTATGTCTTTATCACTCTCACTAACAGAGACGCCTTAGCTGCACTACTTGATCTTTCATGGTCACTGACACATTATTACCATATAAAGTGTAGTTGCAGTTTGTGTTTCTGGGCACTTAATGAATCTAACTCCAGAACAGAGTTAAATGAAAGGGAATATTGGTCTCATTTAGCTGCTAAATCCTTCAAAATGTTCACTAGCTTGTCGCTAACTTTGTCTGTCTTCCACTTGGTGCTGAGCAGGAAGCGTACAGCGGTTTTCTTTAGAGCAATTTCACTAAACTCGGGTGCTTGATGTTGGTAGAAACAACGATAAGAGAGTGCTGAGAGTGAACCAAAACAGTAAAGCTGCAGCCTTTAAAACTAAAAGATAAAAAATGTCAGGAGATCTGTGTGTTGTTCATTTAAAATGCTGATTAGTCCAGATTGAATCATCTAATTTATGAATTTAATAATCTTTAATTAATTTGGACAAACTCTTTGTACACTGTGGAAAGTTCCTGTGTTCGTCCCTCAGTACAACTCGTTGTTAACATGTGAAAAGATATTCAAAACACTACAATCCTCTTTTATAGACTTCTGTAACTGTTAGAAAACAATGACAATGTTGTTTTTTTGGACATTTGACCTTTGCCTCCCTATTATTTACTTCTTTTAACATTGACTTTTGTGTGTTTGTGGGTTGAGGGGTTACAAAATAAATCCACCCTCAGAGGTTCAACCTCAATACCCAATGAATTTTAGGTCAAAATGTTCCTGTTGGTGTTCTTCCATGAGTGTAAACTAAACACATAATACATGTAACTGCAGATAAGACAGCTGATGTACCTTCAGTACCAACAGCCCGAAGAGGATGGACGTCATGTTTGTAGACAAACTTTTCCTCCAGGACCATCTGCACTGACACAATGATCTGGGCCATGATGATCAGAAGGTCTCCTGCAGGACAGACAGAAAGAGAGCAGTGATGTTTAATTTACCAATTGTAGTAGTTTCATTTCATACGGAGCTCGGGGTTAATAAGTAGCTAGTGTATCTATCTAGCGGCTGCTCCGTCACTAACTGCTCCAGTGAGGACTGTCAGTAAAGTCAGCCGAACCTCTTCTGAACCAGACGGTGATACAACCTCCTCTACTGCCGTCCTCTGTGAGTGACTCTATGAGCAGGATACACACTTTTACTTTCTCTGACTGTGTGGAGATCAGATGTTTTCACATCACTGATGATGAAGAAAAAGCATTAAAACATGAGACTCATGTCTTTCCACCACAGGAACTGCTGATACAGGAGTTTAATGCGGCACTGATCTGGAAAAAAGAGGAACAAATAGTCTAACCTGATTGAGGTACGGCCCTAACGGTATCATAAGTAAACATTCAACCAGATAATGACTACGCATTGTCTTATCAGTTGTACCTTTCTTGTTGTCGATCGATTACAGAGCTGATGGTAGCAGAAAATAAAACACACCTGTGAGGATGTCACTGAGTTTGTGCGCGTCGTCTTTGTGTCCGCTGAAGAAGTCGGCGAGGCCCACTATCACCAGGCCCAGAATGGTGATGAGGATGCCGATCCACTGACTGGGGGCCAGGCGTCGCCCCAGGAATGCCACAGAGAGCAGACCGGTGAAGATGATGACCGCTCCACGCAGCATCTGGAAGCTGGAAGCGCTGGTCATGTTGAGAGCTGGAAACATTAAAAATAAAGGGGTTTAATAGAAACTGACATTTTATTTACATGTAAACAAACAATTCATACTGCCTAATAAAGCTGAAAGGCAGTGGCCTGAGAAAAACAACATTATCTTTGACTTCATTATCTCTTTTCCTGACAAAAGGATTCTTTAAACAGCAGATAATCTCTTCTGTTTGGCTGCACCAATGGGACTTAAGTCATTATATTTGACCTTTGAAGGGTGGAATAGATGTTTCAAAAGCTCACGTACACCATGAGCACCATAAAAACAACATATGAGCATTTTAAACAACTTTAACCAAATCTGTGAGCAAAATATGTTTTCCGTTTTCTGAACATTTAAAGAAGATAAAGTCACTTACCAACATACATGATGGAGGTGGCCGTCATGTCACACATGGCGGGTGGGAAGAAGAGGAGAGGGTTGAAGCTCTGGCCCGGGTTCATCTTGGGCTCTGGGCTACGTCTGTCATGGCAAAGTAAGATGTAGAAGACTGCAAGACAGCTCAACTCGCCCAGGAACATACCGACCGCCTGGAGAGGTGGAGCGGGAGAAAGAGGGGAAACAGAACAAGTCAATTCTGATGCTTCGTCTTGTTTTCAGAAAGATCCTGACAAGTCAACAGCACTTTAAAACATATATTTAAATAATTATTTAAAGCAGCAACAAGGAACTTTCATTTTGTGTTGATTCTGACAGCCCCTGTGGACAAAAGTGTTTCCAGGCATTACGAATAACTATATAGAAGTAGCCAGTGTTCTCGCTGATGGTCTTGTTGTTAATGTAGGTCAAATAGAGGCATCAGTATTAAATTGAGTTAAAAACCTATTGCAGTACGTTTAAACAACTTGAATGTGTTAGTTAAAATCCACAGACATGCATGTGCGTGTGGTTAACAGGGGATCAGGGCAGCTGCGTCACAACTAAAATATGCAAAACGTTGATTTAAATCAGGAAGTATCTAATAAAAGAGTCAGGAAACATCAGGATACATTAAAGTGCTCTACGATGCTGTCACCTGCAGTTTATTACTTTACCTGTACAAATGGGTGAGAGAACGCATGATCAGGGACATCGCGGCAGCCCTTCGCCGAGAACAAGTCAGCCCATCTGTTCGACAAGAAGACATTATTACAACTCAATTATGGATATTTTACAAAAACAAATATACATAGAAAACACCTCAATGAGAGAGGGGGTGTTGTCAGACAGCTAGAGCAGCAAAGATTAGTCAAATTATTAATAATTGATTCGTTGTCGTTTCCAAACTTTTGCTGGTTCCAAATTCTCAAATGTGGGGATTTGCTGCTTTTCTTTGTCACATTTAACAATCAACTCAACATGTTTGAGGTTTTTTTTTTTTTTTAAATGTTGATGTTTCTGCTATTTTACAGACAAGTAACCGATTAATTGAGAAAAGAAAACAGCATATTAGTTAATAATGAAAATAATTGTAAGTTTGCAACTTTACATAGCACAACTCAGGTCTGCACTCACTTCATTTGTTTCAGATTTCAGTGAAAACTAAGTTGGTATAGAGCTGAGCTCAAATATTTGAATTATTTTCCATTATTCTGTGTGTGACCAGCAACCAACTGACACATATTGGTGTGAAGAGGATTTCTGCTCCTATTATACTTCGTACAATTTGATGAAGCCACTTGCGAAGTCAATGAGTACTTAAGCGCACATAATGAACCACTGACTTTTACAATCAGACATTAAGAGGAAGCGTGACTGGCATGTGAGCGTCGTGTCTGCATTAAAAAAATGCAAGACAAGGGAATGTGGATCCGTAAAGACGATGACACTGCACTTCCTTTAAAACGCAGCGACTGAATCAAACTTACCCTGTTTATTTGTGGTGACTGTTTTGGATTAAATACCTTCATATGGTGCATGTTTGCCTATGAAAGGAAAGAGGGAACTGTACAACCTGTAACTGATCTCAGCTGTAGGGCTTTAAAACCAGTGAGGCGGCGCTGCAGTGAAACCTTACCTGTTAGTTGCCGCTTTATGCTCCTCTGAGCAACATGACACAGCTTGTTTTGTTTGACACATTAGCACTACAAAGTGCATTAAAACTGTGATTCATAGGTTTTAAATTTGTTCTGCTGACAAAACCCACAAAAAGGACGGAGAAGTGTGTGACCGGCAGCAGAGAGCTGACATCACAGATTAATGGAGAAGTAAAAAAAAAAAAAAAGAAAGAAGAAGCTGAATTGAATTTCTGAAAGCTCTTCCTATCGTCACAAAAATATATTAATAAATACCAAATATTCAAATGTGGAGACCTTTCCAGTTTTATGTAACTTTACATTAAAAATATTTGGGTTTTTAAACTGATTGTCGACCAAAACAAGCAATTTGAAGGCGTTTCTTATGGCGTAGGAAGATGTAAAGGGACTTATTTCACATGTTTTCATATGCTTTAAAGGATTAATAGGAAAATAATAGTTGTTAGTTGCAGAGATATCAATATTGAATTGCCATCAGTTAACTGCTTATCAGAGGAAATGCTACAGATTCACTGTTTGCTGCTTCTGTAAATTAGATCTCTTTGGATTTTGGACTATTGGTTGGAGAAAACAAACCATCTGAACATCTAGGAAGTTATATTCTAATAATTCTGCATTACTTTCTGATGTTTTCACGACGAAACGATCCTGAAAATGATGCCAGCTGCTGTATTTTAACACGGCTGAACTAGGCTATTAAATAAACCTCTGACAGAACATGAATGCCACAGTCAGGTCCCATCAAACCACACAGATAACACAGACATTCCATGATAACTACATTACACACACACACACACACACACACACACACACACACACACTGTAACATCTGACTTTAGATAAAACTGTTTGTATTTGCAATCTATCAACATTTTGCTTCCTGTTTGCAGCCTTATCAAGGTTGTCATTAACATTCAAATGTCCTCACATGCAAATGAGCTTCCTGTAGTTTAACTGTAGTTTCTCATCACACCAGCAGCTTACCAAGAGTGTGTATTAGCCGCCAAAGCTAACCAGCTAACAAGCCTCTAGACACATCTACAACTGGATTACAGGCTAATACTCTGAAATAAAACACATAATAAGCGACTGAGCTTTAATAATGAGATATTTAGTAGTATTAGTACACTACAGGTACAGTTTTTTGTTTTTTTTTGTTAAATTGTTCTCCTCCAGTGACATTAACTATAAACACACCAGTGGATAAACACAATTCAATCTACTCACTTAGCCGATAATGTGTTGATGGAGCCAGTTGTGAGCATCAGTCCCGCGAGGAACAGCTGGTATTTAGTCCAAGCCATGCTGCACGAGCGAGTGGGGCAAACAAAGCAGGGTACACGCGACCACCGGGCTGTTGTTTCGTTGAAAGGGACCTCGGTTGTTGTTGCTGCTCTGCCTGTAAACGCCACATGACAACTCAGAGTCAGCTGACCGCGCAGACGCTGCCTTCAGGTCCGGTCGGAAATGACGGAATCGACCAAATGGTCACATTTTACACGAATGTTGGCTCAGCAAATCCAGGCCTCTTCCCGTATAATGTGAAAAGAAAGAAAGAAAAAGATCTTGATACGATACAGATAAGAAATTTTGAGGCTTATTTGCAACCTTGGTGTTAATTCATGTATCTTAAGCTCTATTTGCCACCCCCCTTTATAACTCTACATAGTTTGTAAAATATACAATGTTTAATCAGCTCTAACAATTAAGAAATGAACAACAGCAGCTGACACTAAAACATTGTCCATTCAGTAGGATACCAAATGTTCTGGGGCTCTGATCTTCATCAGCAGATGACTTTGCCCAGTTGCCATGGAGTCATAGATGTTCAATTAATTTTAATTCATTGTAATTGATTCCATTAAGGTCCATTAACTTCTGAAAGTGCTCACAAAACAATGGGAATATGAAGATGAACAATTCCATTTAAAACTGTTGACAAACTCAATCTGCTGATTGATATCATGATCAAAAGCTCCAGAATAGCAACTAAATGGACATTGTGCTGAAATAATGTACTATTTGTGAAATTTGATTTGTTATTTGCAGATAATTGATTTATTTCGCAGACAAACTAACTTACTGACTGACAAACAAACTGTTATGATGGCCTTGGATCACAACTAAGACACAACCAGATCCTCACCTGGACCATAACTACATTAAATCCACCTTAAATAACCATATTCAGGGATAAAACTGTTAGTAACTGATGTGGAAAACTGCAGTAATAGTGAGCCTTTATGTCTGCAGCCTGAGTAGAAAAAGTTTTGTTAGTGTTGTTGCAGTAAAAATACTACAGTAGGTGTTACATGGTATTTCCAAATGCACAAATACAAATTATTTAAATTTCTGTAGATAAATACAATAGGAGTTTAAGATGCGACCTTAAAGGCAGCAGGACATGCATCCTGGACAAACAGCAGAGGGAGTCAAAGACCAGATAGAGCATCTTGGATTTTGAAAGTGGGACCACAGTAAATTTTCCCCTCTGTGGCCTCACATTGCTTAAAATTAGAACATGCACTCCACTTTCCACGAGGATGCTGTCCCTTAACGCTTAAGAGGTCAAATTTAGGCTTTTCAAAACCTACAAATGAAAAGTGAAAGAAAAATCTGGTTCCAAGTGCACTCAGGGATGTGTATTACAGGTTAATCCACGATCTTGTTACCACACGAACCTGAAAAAAAGAAAATTAAACTGCAACACCTTTGATTCTCTGTGGCACAGCACACACAGAGCTGGAGGAAGGGAAGATATCATACACAGAGTTTTCTTTGCTGAGGAAATGGGCTTATGAGCCATTGACCTTGTTTCACTCTGTGCTAAACAGGGTGCTAAACAGATTCTTGGTGACTTCCCAAACT